TTCACGTTGATACATACCCAGAAAAGATCAAACAAAAATAATCAAGACCCATAAAGCATCTACAAGAAAAAACCCAAATTGGACAAGCTTTTCCCAGATTCTTTCTGCAGGAACCCTGATTTGTAATGATTTTTTTAAGAACAATGCAAGAAGAAGAGATAGTTGATTGTTTTTGAATCTTTATTCTCCAAAGATTGGAGTGGAGAGAAGCAGAATATAGAGATTAAAGACAGAAAAGTATGGCTATCTTTTAAAAATTAAAAAATTAAAAATCAGAAAACAAAGAGAAAAATCTAGGAAAATTAAACAAAATCAACAATATGTAACTCACTTCATCATCAAATTATATTCCTTCATCAATCTAGGGCGAGAGAGTCTGGAAAAAGGAAAGAGAAAATTGTAGAAAGTTTCAGTTAACTCTGAACCGAAATCCTAAAAAATATAAAAATATTTTAGGTTGACCCCACTTAAAAGGAAAGGAGAGAAGTAATAGATCTTTGACATGGACAATAAAAATGTTATTGTAATCGGATTATTTTCCATGTCATTAAATTTTTAAGATAAAAATTGATTTCGTTGCAACTTAACGTGCCATCTGGCACTTCCGTTGACGGAAGGACTAAAATGGTTCCAAAAATTGAAGTTTAGGGATTTTTTTAATACTTTTTTTAGTTCGAGGGTATTTTTAGTCCAAAAATGAAAGTTCAGGGACTGAATCGGGGATATAACCAAAAAATTACTTCCCTTTAGATAAGCTTGGGCAAAACTTATTGTTAAGCCCCTGAGCTTATCCCATTTTAACATATCAGCCCCTGAACAAATAAGGATACATATCTCCTTGAATACCTAGACTCATCCAAGTAAGTCCCTCAACTAACTTCTCCATCAACTTTAAGGTTAATAGAAACAGGGACGTTAATCAGACTAAATTGAGATTAAAAGAAAAATGAATAATTGTAATTTAGTTCCTAGATCAATTAAATTTGAAATAGAATTAATTTCATAACTTTAAATATTTTCATTAAAGTTTAAATTTCAAATGTACAATAAAATTTAAAGGAAAAGTAATGTTCTTTAATGTTGAATTGAGATTCCTATCTTTACAAATATAATTATGCATGTTACAATAACTTTTTCCGTGTTAAAATGCTAAAACTAATTTCAATTCTTCATCTTAAAATCACAAACCTAAACTTAATTATCAAACATCCAGTTGTCATCCCACCATTTAAATGATCATTTCCTCTCAAATGCCTCAAACAATAGCACGATGATTTAAAAATTTTTCAACATTGATCCTTCTTGCAACAACCTAATTATATGCTTCTTTCTTCTTCTTCTTGTTGTTGTTGTTTTTTTTTTTTACCAAAACCAGCTTATATTCTACATATAAAAGAGAAATTCATATTTGAGTAATAACCATTTTCATTTTGGTAGCAGGGTATAATTAATTTGGAATAAGTTTTTAATTATGTTTTGTCAAAATAGAATATTTGTTGGGATTTTTTGTTCTAAAATTTTTACAATTTTTGTTAAATTAATCTAAGTTTAAATATTAATTTTATTTTAAATTTGACTAATCTATAGATTAAGTTACAATAATTTTTTTTTTTAACTCCACGTCAGTCTTAAGATCATCACTGTTTCTTTTAACTGTAAAGTTGGTTGAAATTAACAAGGAGTATGATTGCCAATAGGTGAGGGACTTACTTGCAAAAATCTAGTGGTTCGAGGACTTATATGCATGTTTATTTGTTCAGGGGCTGATGTGCTAAAATGAGAGGGGTTTAACAATCTGCCAGAAACTTGTCATTAACTACCCCTCAAAAGTCAACAAATTTACTTTCCATCACATGAACTTGCCATGCTTCTGTCTACATTAGTGAGAGATAGGAACACATGAGAGATAGAGTTTAGAGAGAGACACTAACAGAGGAGAGAGTACTACGTTTTTTTTATTGCTTAATTATCCTACAAGTTAAAAATAATCTTTTAAAAACATTAAAAAAATACTTTTTAAAAAGTTAGATTTACCTTAATATCAATTTTGAACAAGACGCAACTTAGGCTAGAAATATTGACGATGGCTTTAATTAAAATATTGTTTTGACAATTTCCATAGTGTAGACTAATCAAAAATGGGAAAGAAACAGCTAAGCTAGAAAAGAGAAAAGTCAAAACCGGTATTTTTTCTAACAATGATTAAAACCACGTTTTCCTTTAGATCATCTACAGTCTATCAAGAATGTCATGGGCAGCAAGGGAAGCATGAAAACCACTTTGCTTGTCCAGCATTTTGTGGTGCTTTAGGAGTCTGTTCCTTGGTGGTCTGCAGGTTAGGGGTGGCTGGTTCAGACTGTGTTACTGTGGCCACTTTTGGGGTTGAAGGTTGTGACTGTTGATGCTTTAACCCCGGTCTAACAGAACCACTTGAATCTCCTCCTGCCAAACTGAAAAAAAATAAAAATAAAAAAATTGACAATTCAGTGTGTTGCTGATTTGCCATTCAAGTATTTCTTTCCAATTCAAGCAAAACATCAGCAAATTCACTGCTATGAATATTAGATGCAAGGAACAAGATTACTTCATTATCTGCCTTGTGATATAAGGTAACAAAGCTTACATTGGAAATGCAAAAGATTTGACACTCGTATCTGAATGCTGAGAAGAGCTACCAATGTTATATGAATCCTTGAGACAAAACTCGGCTTGCCTTCGGTCTTCTTCTTTATCGACCTTTACACAACTCGTTGTTGAACCCCCATTCAAATTACTGCTTTTACTGCTGATTTCAGTTGGTTTAGGTTGTGGTGACTGGTTACTGGCATCTTTCAGAGGGCTAGAATATGAATCACCAGGGACAACGAGCTCACCTGACTTATATGAATAGGTTAGCAGGTCTCCTGTAAAACTCATGTTTCCCATGTGAATGCTAAACAAGGATTCATTGGAAGCAACACTCCATTCCGTTGGAGCATTTGTATTACTTTCAAAGACATTAGATGGAATCCTATAAGAGGGAACCGAGGATGAAGGACTTGATTCTCCAGGTCGCTCCATGACTTGTGTTGGGGGATGTTGTATTACTGAACCATCATAAGGTTGCTTACTGACTGCTCCTGGTGTAGAGTTACTGGCTTGTTTTATATCCAATTCAAAGTGGTTTTCAGATGAAGAAGACGAGGAGGAGGACAGAGACGGAGAACTCAACTTTTTGTTGGAGGTAACTTGTTTACCTTCACCCAGAGTAGCTTCTTGATGTTTCTTTAAATCACTGCTAGTTCCTTTTGGATCTCCGGATTCCATCCCTGAAAAATATGATATTTATAGACTCTAGCCCTATACCGCGTAAAGGTGCAGGAGTTCATTCTATGACATCAAGAAGAATGTGAGACTTCAGAGTTTGAATTTACACAAAGCAAGGGATTAGAAACCATCCCGGATGGGTGATGAGTTAGCTATTAATGTTTTGAGCCAGTAAATAATTAATAAAAGAGTGACACCCAATTAGGGAACTTTAAGTGATTCTAAGATACAAATCAAGCAACTCAATCCAGGTAAACTGGGCTAAAAGATTAAAGTTAAATCAATTTAATTCTCTATATTTACTAAATTGCAAGCTATAGTATAGTTATTACACCACAAGAGGAAACAAAATTCATATTGCTAGGCCAGGTGCAATAGACACACATGCAATAGAAAAATGCATAAACAAAAGGCTCATCTGTATTCACATAGAACCTAAATGTAATATATTTGTTCTCTTATCAGTTCTTACATACTAACTCATGCTTTCTGGACATGCATTAATGTACTTAGGTTTTCTTCTCTTGAACCTGAATTGAAAATGCAATTGGGTTTCCTTGCTTATCTTTTTAACTTAAAATTTTTAACTTGAAACTTAATAACTAAATCAAACCTTATACTTGAGGAATGATCAGGGTTCAGAAAACCCCAAGGAGAAATCAAAGGCTTGGTCTTTGCACACAAAGAGGAACAAAAAAGATTTTCTTAATTTCCAAAAAGATGCACAACAGGTGTTTGACAAAATTATCAGGGTGTTTTAATGATAATTTCCAAATAATTCTCAAAAAACTGATTAATCTTGAACCAATAAAGTCTAGAAGCATCCATGATCTTTAATATTTATTTGCAGAAAACTCTTTCAAGCTATTAACCATGGATTGAAAATCACATAAACTCAGTATACCCAATAATTAAATTTTCAATGTATCAGCCAAAAATAATGAAACCCAATAATCAAACAAAGAACAGGATTTACACAAATAAACACCAACCTTCATGAAATGCCAGAAAGGGTGTGGTTAGATCCATCCACCACAACCATCAACCCCAGAAAATCAGCAGAATCTTGGTATCCATGAAAGAGTAAGAAAAAAGACAACAATGGTGGCAGAGAGGCAGGGAGACAGAGAGATAGGAATTGTTGGAGGAGAGTGGATGCAGGAGAGATGAGGATATTAATTGAAAATTCCCACATACATAGGAACTTCTCTCTCATATTCTCCCTGAAATAACGAACTTAATTTTAACAACCCTCATCTTGTCAATGTCAGATAAGCATGTCAAGGTGCAAGCAAAATTGAAAGTTACTAAATGTAATGGTGACTTTCAAACCATTTGTTAATTTATTATATAAAATACCTTTAAAAAATTACTCTCAAAATGAATTAATGAAGGGCTACTTTTTTTGTCTTGGGGGGGGGGGGGGGGGGGGGGTTCAGTTAATTAAACCAAAAACAGTATCGTTACTAAATGCGGCCTAAGGTATTAAGAATTATTATTGTTTTTTATTAATTTGGATTGCAAGAAAAGATTTAAGGGCAGGGGACCATTTGCTGAATTAGGCCGAATATGCTTAATGTATGCTACATTATTATTATTTTTTTTTTGAACATGATGTATGCTACATTATTTAGACTTTGTTTAGTATGGAAAAAATAATAATAGGGATAACTATTGAGGCAAATACCTAGAAAAAGGTGCAAGTTAGAATATTTAATTTTTTATTAAGTTATATAATAAAAAATAATTTATTTATCTTTTAAGCCGTAGCTCACTATATTATTATGTTATATTACTTAAATTTAAAATGTTTTATTTTTATAAAATAAATTCTTATTAAATAATTTATTTAAATTGTTAAAAAAATATTTCATTATGTGGCATAGCATCGTGAGTGAGTGACGTGGCAGCCTCGTCCATCCATTTCTTCCTCTCCTGTTTTTATCAATCGATATAAAAGATCACAATTATTGCTTAAGATTTATGGTTTTAAAAGTTTAAAGTTAAAAATTTACAGCAATATTTAGAGTTTAGAGTTCTATAATTTGTTTTATTAATTTGAGGTTTAGAATTTTAAGTTTCATAATTTAAGATTTAGAATTTTGGGTTTCGGCATTTACAATTTACGATTTTAGAGTTTAGGGTTTTTTTTTAATATATAGATATATATTTCAATATTTAGAGCTTATGGTTTAACATTTTGAATTTAGATATTACCTATATATATATTTTTTGGTGAATTATTATGTATGATTTAGAGTTTTATATTTAGAGTTTAATGTTTTTTCTGGCCTTTTTAGGGGTTCAATATTTAAATTAGAACAAAATTTTTGAAAGTTTAGAATTTTAATATTGTTTTTTTATTAGGATTTTAATATTGTTTAGCATCGGGAGGATATTAATATTGTTATGGTGTCAACTATACAGTATATAAACGAAAAAAATTTATTTAAATAGAATATATAAAATAATTAACATCCAATAAAGAATATATAAAGTAATAAAAAATTAAAGAAATTATATATGACATGGCTCGCCATGCCATTGGTCCGTCTATCACTACTAAAATTCAAGCCTTCAGCAACAATATAGCAACAATATAGAATCTTTTTTTGCTAAAAATTTGTATCAGTAACAAGACTCACGTTACTAAAAGTTTCATAGTACATTTTTTCCCTAAAAAGTTGTTCTACTTTCAGCAACATACCTCATATTGTTGATATTTTTCGACTATCATTTCCCCATCTAATTGAGCTCCACTTTCAGCAAGATATTCCTTGTTGCTGAAAGTGGGATTTCTTGTTGCTAAAAGTCACTTTCAGCAACAAGGAATCCCACTTTCAGCAACAAGGAATATCTTGCTGAAAGTGACTTTTAGCAACAAGAGCTATTTTACTGAAACTTTTCCAACCACACCTAAAGTGTTAGCAACATATACTATGTTGTTGTTAGTTTTATCTTTTTACCAACCAAACATCAGCAACATATCCCTTGTTGCTTATATTACCACTTTGACTAATAGTTGGTCAAGGCCATTCTATATATACCTTTAAATAAAGAGTCGAATCTAGCTACAAAGATTCGACTCTCGAGTATTCAAGAGTCGACTATATACGGTGAACATTCGGCTCCCAAATTCTAGAGAGTTGAGAACATTTTAAGTGTTGTGTATAGTCAACTCTTTTTGGAAAAGAGTCTACTCTTATTTGAAAAAAAGTTGACTCTTAATTTAAAAACTATTGACAAAAAATTGTGATAACTTTATATAAAATATCTATGTAGTCTCATGTGCATATTCACATATTTTTTAGATAAAATCAAGTTTTAAATTAGTTAAATATATTAATAAATAATATAATTATATTAATTAATGTGTTAAGTGTT